GTGGAGATTATGATGTCAATCATCCCTACCAAAATTTGAGTAAAAAATAGTTACGTATAATGTTAAGTTAAGTTAAGTTTGTCAGGGCAATGAGTTGATCAGTCCTAGAGTTTCAGTTAAATAGGCTTATTAGAACTTGATCTTAAGTTTTAAATAGTTTTTTCCAAAATGGCAGCCATGGTGGCCATAATGGATTTTTGATCAACCTGAAAAAAAAAAAAAAAATTGCCAGGACCGTGAGTCGATCATTCCTACCAAGTTTCAGTTAAATCACTTTAAGTTTGAAATAATTTTTCAAAATGGGGGCCATGGTGGCCATATATGATTTATGATCGACCCGAAAAATAACAACACTTTGCCAGGAACATAAGTCAATCATTCCTACTAAGTTTCAGTTAAATCGGCCCAGTAGAACTTGACTTAAGGTATGCAATTGTTTTTCAAAATGGGGCCATGGCGGCCATATCGGATTTCTCATCAACCTGAAAACTAACTTCATTAGTTCTTTGTCAGTTCGATCTTTTCTCTTCTATCCTCTGATCTATTTGATCGGGTCATGTTAACAGTAAATGCACCTTGAGGTAACTTTTGATCTAAACTTAATACTGATGTGTATGAAAGCCAACCTTCAAAGTGAGTTTGTCATTTCACATATTTACTAGTACAGTACTTAATGTGAAAGAAATAGAATCGATCATTGCAATACGAGAAAGATCTGTTTAGTTGTTCCTTAAGCCATTTTGTTTTTATGATCAGTCTCAAAATATAACATACACAACGAGGGATCAAGAGGAACCTTCATATCAAATTTGAGAACTGAAAACTAACTACACTTTGTCAGGACCATGAGTTTATCCTTCCTACCAAGTTGCAGTTAAATAGGCTCAGTAGAACTTGACTTAAAGTTTGAAATTGTTTTTCCAAATTGGATTTCTGATTGACACGAAAAATGACGACACCTTGTCAGGACCATGAGTTGATCATTCATACCACGTTTCAGTTAAATCGTCCCGGTAGAACTTGTCTTTAAGTTTGAAAAAGTTTTTCAAAATGGTGACCACTGTGGTGGCCATATTGGATTTTTGATCGACCCGATAAATAACAACACTAAGTCAGGGAGTAGTCAGTAAACCTTTGAAAGGATTTCAGCTTAAGTTGAAAATGTAAAATGTTAACGGACGACGCACGATGCATGATGAAGGACAAAGACGCTCAGGTGTCACAAAAACTGGATGCATAATATCATTTGGTAGTTATCTTATCCTTGAAATAGGTTCTTTACTGTAGGAGAGTTGTCTGTGGTCAAAAAATTTCAGGATTTTTCAACAAAGGGCCATAACTTCGTAAAAATACGGCTCAGAATGAGAAAATAATACTTGAATGCACAATTTAAGGTGGTAGTTATCATATCTGGAAACTTAAGTTGAAATTTGACCATTATCTTAGAAGGAGTTGTCCAGACAAACTTTTTTTATTGACGGACAGATGGACAGACAAGCTGATTCCAGCAACATCCCTTACTTCGTTGTAGGGGGCATAATGAATAATGGTTCAGCACATTGCTTACCTCAATATAAATACTTCAACTTCATCATTGTCAAACACTTATTGTATATTGAGTGTGGTGATCTAACACTGTCTGGAAAACTTGCTCAAAAACTGGCAATCTATTGATGGTAGAGAGTGACCAACATGTACACTGGTAAATGTCAGAGTAGTAAAACAAGAGGCCCAATGGGCCTGAATCGCTCACCTGGTATTAATCTCACAAATTTGCAACCTTAGTGGACTAAAATAAAGCTACAGGCAAAATATCAGTGTTTGATTCATAAGAACCTAATAAAAGATTTAAACAAATGACGCCCGTGACCTTGAATGTCGAACAAGGACATTAGATTGAACAGAGTTTATAGTCTTCCTACCCAGCATATGCTTCTAGCAAAATATCATTACCCTGGACCTTTTGGTTATATGGAACAAATCATTTGAAGATTTAAACATATATTGACCACTGTGACCTTGAATATGGGCAAAGGTCATTCATTTGACGAACTTGGTAGCCATTCATCCCAGCATGTTAATGGCCAAATAAAATCACCCTTGGCCTCTTGATTATTAAGAGGTCATTCAAATGTTTTAAACATATTTGACCCCTGTGACCTTGAATATATGTCAAGGTTATTTATTTAAGCAAACTTGGTAGCCCTTTATCCGAGCATGTTACTGACCAAATTTAAGCACCCTAGGGCTTTGGGTTAACTTATTCATCAAATGTTGTTTAAAGGTTTTAAACATATTTGACCCCTGTGACCTTGAATATAAGTCAAGGTCATTTATTTGAACAAACTTGATAGCCCTTCATCCCAGCATGTTACTTCATTAGTTCTTTGTCAGTTCGATCTTTTCTCTTCTATCCTCTGATCTATTTGATCGGGTCATGTTAACAGTAAATGCACCTTGAGGTAACTTTTGATCTAAACTTAATACTGACGTGTATGAAAGCCAACCTTCAAAGTGAGTTTGTCATTTCACATATTTACTAGTACAGTACTTAATGTGAAAGAATTGGATCGATCATTGCAATATGAGAAAGATCTGTTTAGTTGTTCTTTAAGCCATTTTGTTTTTATGATCAGTCTCAAAATATAACATGCACAACGAGGGATCAAGGGGAACCTTTATATCAAATTTGAGAAATATCAAATTTGAGAAAGTTATTCCTGAGAAATAATACTAACAAACCTTCAATGTCAAAAATCGAAGATTGCTGTCGGTAGGCCATTTTGTTTAACTGATCAGTTACAAAAGTAAACATGAGCAATAAAGGATAGTGGGGAACCTGCATTGGCTGGTCCCAATTTTATTTTTTGGGGCGAGTAAAAAATTTGAAGCACTGGCCCAAATGACATATTGGTGGACCAAATAATTTTGGGAAGAAATATTTCCACAGCATTTAACACAATGCTTCAGCACATTTAAATAACAAATAACATGACAATGTTTGTAATATGTAAAACAGAATAAAACATTATATTTTTAATTCTTCAACCCTAGTTAAAACCAGACATGATCCACTCCATTCAGGTCTTCCCAAAAAGAAATACACAAAACTTGCACCTCAAAGAAGACACCCTGGCATATAAATAATATAGAAAATCATCACATTTTCTAAATCATGGACAGTTTGATTCAAATCGAAGTAATGACAACTAAAAAATGTACTGCCCCCCNNNCCCCCCCCCCAGTAGCTCAAATTATTTTTGTTGGGTCACGGACTACCTCACTTTTGAAAACTTTTGGTCGCTCGAGCAAGACTTTAACCGCCATTGGCGAGCGAGCGCCCATCAATTTCAGGCACTGCTGCACAACAAGGTGAATCTACATATAAAATTTGAGAAAATTCCCTCCTGTACTTCCCGAGAAATAGCGATAACAAACTTTCACTATCAAAATCAAAGATGGCTGCCTGTCGGCCATATTGTTTATCCGATCAGTCTCAAAAGTTGCCCTGCACAGCTAGGGACCAAGGTAAACCTACATATAAAATTTGGAAAAGATCCCTCTGGTACTTCCCGAGGAATAGCGATAACAAACTTTCACTATCAAAATCCAGGATGGCTGCCTGTCGGCCATGTTGTTTTTCCGATCAGTCTCAAAAGTTGCCCTGCACAGCGAGGGACCAAGGTAAACCTACATATAAAATTTGGAAAAGATCCCTCTGGTACTTCCCGAGGAATAGCGATAACAAACTTTCACTATCAAAATCAAAGATGGCTGCCTGTCGGCCATATTGTTTATCCGATCAGTCTCAAAAGTTGCCTTGCACAGCTGAGGACCAAGGGGAACCTACATATAAAATTTGAGAAAGATCCCTTTGGCACTTCTTGAGAAATAGCGATAACAAACTTTCAATATCAAAATCAAAATAGGGTTATTTTCTATAAACTATAGCATACTTTACTCCATCCACAAGGGGGAATGGATGACCGGGATTATTGCTATTCACAATTTTGATAAAGCACCTTAGGACCTTTCCATCCATGAACAGTATTTGATTCGAGATTTCATTATAGTTCACAATCTGATGCTGTATGACTGTTCTTCTCTCACCTCATCCTTCCATGATGGCTGATACACAGTTGTTGAACATGTGACATAACAGCCAAAATGCAACCCCTTCACCGAAAGTTATCATGATGCTTATTAGTAGTAAAAGGACAGTTGATTACATGTTTATATCTCGGCATTTGGATGACTTAATTTTTTTTAAGCTTTCAATTTTTTGTTTTTGGATCATATAGAATGATAATATATTCATTATTATTTTCAATCTAGGTACACTTTTAAGATAATAACCTAAACTTTTCCTATTGGGCCCCAGTCATAGGGGCCACATCCTCCATTTATGTAAAATTTGTGTCCCCTTTACCCAAAGATGCTATTCTCTAAATTTGGTTATAATCCCTCAATTTGTTTGGAAGGAGACAGATTTTAAAGATGTATCTCTATGTTTCCTAGTGGGCTATGCCTCTTTGCCAACAGTGGAGCCACACCTTCTGTTTATACAAAGTTGATTCCGTTTTGCCCTAGGATGCTCTAGATCAAATATTGTTAAAATCTCTCCTTTTGTATAGATAAATGGATTTTATAAACATTTCTCACTATATGTTTCCCCTATTGGACATTTGGGAGGGGGGAGGGGGTCACACCCTCTGTTTATATAAGATTGACCAAGGATGCTCTAGACACATACAAAAAGTGAAGGATTTTAACTACGTATTTACAAATAAAATCCTTTTCTGGACCCCGTCCACCACCCCTTCCTTGGGAGAGCAACACACTCCATTTTAACAAAACTGTTTCCACTAATCCCAAGGATGCTCTAGACCAAATTTGGTAAAACCTTTCCAGTCATGATGAAAGAGAAGGGCTTTTAAAGATTTACCTAAATTTCCCCCATTGGGTCCCACCTCTCTTCCCTTATGGTGTGTTCTACATACCATTACTCATTCTCCTGTAGAAGACAATTCCTATGATGATTAAAAGCAGTCCGATGACACCTCCTGATATTCCTCCTATTAGTGGTGCTACAGATGGATCTTTGACAGCTAAAAAATGAAAAGTAAAAAGTACAAAGGCTTCAGAAAATGCTATTATTTGATGGTTAAAGCATTTAACTCAGCCAGGGTAAAAGTCTTTCATACTAAAAAGTAATCTACAAATCTTAATTTATAAAATGTTGATATTTATAGCATTAGCTCAGACGGTAAGCATCTTAATGTTTGTGACAGCATCCCCGGAGTTACGGGAATACAGATATATATTCACTCAATGTTATCCAGCTATAAATATACGCACTCATCCGATCATACCTCAGTAACTATTAGTATATAATTTATAGCAGAAAAGATCAATGCTTCTTAATAAGGCCGTCCCTTCTCTTAAGTACCTGTGCCCTTCCCCCCTTTTAGGTCGACAATGGTATGCATAATGATACATGCAAGCTTTCAGCCAGGTCCACGGCACTTAGTAAAGACTCCAAAATTCTAGGTTATATTAGGCTATGTGAATATATTTACATTTGCATGGCATTGTCACTAACTATATAGCCTCTTTGAAAGCTGTGTCGTTGATGGGACTTTAATTACCATGCAGCATGAGACACAGTTCTTAGCGTATTAATACAACACTGACCGGAACTACAATATCCAATGTAAATAAACATGACGGCTGTTGAAATATAGCTGGGCATTGTGAGACTTAACAATGTAATTGTAAATTTATGTGCAAAAGAAAAAGAAAATATAAAAAAAATATACTTTTATTACTGCAAAAGGCCCCGAGGGTCTGTATCGCTCACCTGAATATGTTTAAAACAAGAGGCCCAATGGGCCCGCATCGCTCACCTGGTATAAAACTCACACCTGTAACCTTAAAAGTGATCTAAAATAAAGCTACAGGCAAAATATCTGTATTTATGATTAAAATTCGTTCAAAAGACCCTGTTATTTGCTTTTTAAACATTTCGTCCCTGTGATTGAAAGTCAAACAAAGTCATTATGTTGAACAAATTTTATAGCCTTTCATCTCAGGATGCAACTTGCAAAGTATAAACATCCTGGGACCAATGGTTATTCATAAGAGGTTGTTTAAAGATTTGACCCCTGTGACCTTGAATATAAGTCAAAGTCATTCACTTTAACAAACATAGTAGTCCTTGATCACAGCATGCTACTGATTAAATATCAACATCCTGAGTCTTTTGGTTATTCAGAACAAGTTGTTGAAATATTTTAAACATATTTGCTCCTTGTGACCTTGAATATGATTCAAGGTCATACATTTAAACAAACTTGGTAGCCCTTGATCCTAGTATGCTACTGACTAAATATCATCACCCAGGGCATTTTGGTTATTCAGAAGAAGTTGTTTAAAGTTTTTAACATATTTGACCCCTGTGACCTTGAATATGGGTGAAAGTCATTCATTTGAACAAACTTTGTAGCCCTTCATCTCAGCATGCTACTGGCCAAATATCATCACCCTGGGCATTTTGGTTATTCAGAAGAAGTTATTTAAAGGGTTTTTAAGTGATTGACCCCTGTGACCTTGAATATAATTGAAGGTCATTCATTTGAACAAACTTGGTAGCCCTTCACCCTAGCATGCTACTGACCAAATATCATCTCCTTAGGCCTTTTCGTTATTAAGTAGAAGTCGTTTAAAGTTAAATATTGACGCCGGACGACGGACGGACGACAGACGGACGCCGGACACCGCACCACGGCATAAGCTCACTTGGCACTTCGTGCCAGGTGAGCTAATAACTGGTATGAAGTAAAGATATAGCACTCCATGGTACATTGTAGGTGCTGTGAGTACATATGAAATTTCAGATCCATCCAGTACTTGAGATATAGCTAGAACAAACTTCAAACAGAGCCCCACTCGTATGCCCCTAGAGGAGTCATACCCACCAATTATACAAGCTAGGACCCAAGGATGCTCCAGACTAAATAAGGATACAAGAGGCCCAAGGGCCTTAGCGGTCACCTGAGTTATATCATAGGTACTGGTAGCGAAATGTAGTGAAATACAATGTTATACTTGTCATGTCATCAAAGGATAAGAATTTTAAAATATTAGTAAATGTTCCCTTTGGGGCCCCGCCCTAGCCCCTGGAGATTGGGCAGAAATCCCAATTTTACAATGTAATTCACCAAAGATTATTTTAACTAAGTTTGAGTAATTTTCAACTGAAAATGGATAAAATATACACAAAAGTGTTATTTCCCTATATAAACTATAGTAAACTTTACCCCCCCCCCCCCCC